GGAACACAAATGCTGTCTGCTTCCTATTAAGAAGGACAGAGTATTTGAGAGTTACAAAAAAGTAATATTAGTCAGACTAAGAAATTTGTCTTATTCTATTTAGTCCCTACAATGAATGTGTGCTCTGCACAAAGTAGTACTCTTAAATACACAAGGATATGGACAGTTTGTCATCATCTATGTATTTGTTTATTAATCAAAAAGTACTCGTCTGGTGGACACAGCCATTTGGGGATTGTCCTTTAAGTTTCATTGCCATATGTAGAATTTGCTGTACATACAAAGATAAGGCATTTGGATGATTTATGGCAGAGAGCTGTTTATACTCACATTCGGGGGGGGGAAGGGAGTGAAAGGCGTGTATCAGTTATTTTATTCAAATATTCAACTCTAAACTATAATAGAGTGATTTTTTTTTAAAGTACTCCACCCTCTGTTAAAGAACACATTGTTATTTCCTAGGACCTAGAGTTTTCTTGTCTTGGCTTCCAGCTACATTAAATCCTTGTAATATGTTCCTTACACTTAGCTATTGGGCCTATATGACCTGATTCATTCAAGCAGCCCTGTTTAGGAAAACATCATGCACGTAGTTAAAGTTGAATCTGTGCTTAATTGCTTTCCTGAATAGGAGCAAATAGAAATGCAGGGATGAGGAAAGGAGCTTAGCATTGGAAGATCATTTGAGATCAAGATACAAGATGAGCTGGTGGCAGAGAGAATGGAATTTTATTTTACCTCTACTGAAGAGAGACATCAAATTGCACATTGTTTTTGGCTGGTTGGTTTGGAATAACTTCCAATCCCGACCAATGCATATTAGTTCATGTGCATGGCTTTCACAAATTTGTGTTGTTGCCTCTGAATTTGTCTCTAATCAGCAGCATATTTATAAAATGTTATGACTGCAGCATTTGATGGGCTTTTCTGAGGTGTATGTGATAAATGAGAAGTAGAGGTTAGAATGAATTCCATGTGGCAAGCAGGTGTGTTGGTTTTTTTGGAAGAAGGCAGGGAGAGTTTGATACATTGGGATCCATTGCATTTAGTATTTATATAGCAGAAAAAAAATTACAGGTCACTTATTGTGCATTTAGGCTGATTCTATATCAGTACTTCGGAAAGGAAATATAAATGTCTGTTGAATTCAACTGAGCCAAGATTTCAACCACAATGTGCAAAAATACATTCTTTCTGGGTTTAGTTTGTTTCCATTGTGAAAGAACAAATCACATGATGCTAGAATGTTTATATCTGATTTAAGATCATCAGGATAGCCAAAAGGCTGTATGCTCATAGCTATAAAAAGCTTATGTTAAGGCCCAGTTCTTCTCTCTTGCACTAGGAAATATCCTCTGTCATTTGAAATACATAGGTATAAAGCCAGCATTTGTGATGGGAGAACCAACTTTAAAGAAGGAAATTAGAAAAGTTATTTTAATAAAATAACATCTCTCCATTTTGTTTAGTAGTACAGTACTTAGAAGCTATAGTCATGAGTCAGCACCCCATTAGGCTAAGCACTATACACACCAGAACAAAGAGATGCCGCTGCTCCCAGGGAGCTTACAAGCTCCTATGGTTTCCTTACTAGTGAGGCAGAACCCCTGGCTTCAGTACCACTTGGATAAAATAAGATGAGGATTCATTCGTCATGGTTATTCAGCCCTGCTCTCATTGCTGAACCATCCTCTTGTGGAGTCAGTTTTGATGGTGTTTTGTGAGATGAGCATCTCTGTCTGCTGTGAATTTAATAAAAACTTCAACTTAGTTGGTGGCTGTTATCTATCAACTGTAAAATAAACCTTTTGTCACTGACTTGTAATAGATTTGAATTGATGATCTGGAGTTTAAAAGGTCAGGTATCCAGGTCCTCTTAGCAAACCTAGTTCCTAAATGTGCCTTTTTAAAAGTGACCTGAAAATGAGGAAAAACAAATGGCTTTCTATCCTTTGGGGTTTTTTTTTTTTTTTTTTTTTTTAAGCTTCTTCATGTTCCACCTTCACCCTGTGTTGTTTAAAACCTTCTTTACCTGTTTTTTCCTGAAAGACTTTCTAAATATCTGAGGCCCTATCTAAAACCCATTCAAGTTTCTTGGAAGGCTTCCTTTGACTTCTGTGGGCTTTGGAGCTGGTCTGTGGAGACGGGCTGGGAAGATTATGGTATTAGAGATGCTGTAGAGTTAAATATGATAAAATGTGAGGGGAAATAGTCCTTGTTAAAAATGTTTAAAGCTCTCTCACTATTTGTCTTTGGTAACACGCACTTCACTGAAATATCTAAATCTGCATCTGGGGAAAAAAAGATTGCTTTCTTAGAGTCAACATTCCCACCCCGCTCCTTTCAACACAAGAGCTGAGTGTGCTCACAATACGCATGTAGTGTTGCCAGGAGTATGGTTCTCAACTGGAACGCCTGGTCAGAAAGTGACCCTGTCAGCACTGCTGACTGGGCCGTTGAAAGTTCTGTCAGCAATGCAGCAGGGCTCAGACAGCTCCCGGAAGTGGCCAGAATGTCCCTGTGGCCCCTAGGCACAGGGGCAATCAGGGAAGTTCTGTGTGCTGCCTGAGTGCCTGCTCCTCCGCTCCCATTTGCCAGGAACTGTGGCCAGTCGGATCTGCAGGGGTTGGTGTTTGCAGACAACAGTCCGCATACCACCTGGCCACCCTGTGCATACAGGCACAGGGACATGCTGGCTTCTTCCAGGAGCTGCGCAGAGCTACAGCAAGCAGGGAGCCTGCCTTAGTCCCTCTTGGCCACAGACCAGGAGCCACGAAGGTAAGCACCTCTCAGCTGAGTCTAAATCCCTCACCTCAATCCACTATCCCAGGTTAGAGTCCCCTCCTGCATCCTAACTCCCTCTGAGCCCACATCCCAACTAACTTTTGCGCCTTCTTTACATGTTTTTTTTATAAAAAAAAAAAAAAAAAAAACCCAAAACAGAAAACTACCACCAAGTATAATCACCGTTCTTTCCTTTGCAATTCTCCCTTACGCTCTTTTATCCAACACTTGCAGTCGTCATAGCAATGCCACTTGGTGAGAGCTGGAGCAGAGCACTGGAGTTCTAGAACTATCAGCTGCTGAATCAGCTGGACACATTGGTTTTTAGGGGAAGGGAGTGTATGTATAACCAAAGTGTGTTCATTGGGAAACAATGCAGTACACAATTTTTGTAATCTTACCAGTATAAAAAGCAAGGTTTGTCTGGCAGCCTTAATTCTGTTTCTTTTATCATTATGTTATAAAAGACGTAGCATGGAGGTAATGTGGGTAATATATATCCCATACTATATGGCAAATGTTAATAACATATCCTCTTCTCCCCTACCCCTCAATTCCTCTGCCTCCCAGTGCTATATTATTTACATATCTCCGATAAGTAAGAAAACAATGTTCTGCATAAAGAACTGGCAAATCAATAAAATTTCCCAATTGGTCTCTGGTGTGTGTTTTTATTATGTGTTTTTCTATTGCACATGCTGAGAGGATAAATAAGATTTATAATGCTTTCACGTTCATTTCATTGTTTCTTTTCTACCAATCTAGACATCAGGGTATAAGGTAATTTATTGCAAGTACTCTCATTTTGTTGTTAGGTCAGCGTTCCTAATTCTGGGATCATTTGCTTCACTGAAAACATCATGTTATACCTTAGAGAGAGTGGTTTTAATGTCATCAGAACTTGTCTGTTCAGCAAAAGAACTATCAGTGCAGAAAAGTGGAATGATTAACCTATGAATTGTGAAACAGTTTAAGAGCATTGAGGGGGAATGAAAGCATGACAAGTCAAAGCATGTCCTATAAATCACCAGTGTGTAAATTAAGAAGATTGTGTCTGAACACACATGCTATACATTACTTGAGTGATTTAAGAAAGGATTCAGACCGTTTTGAATATGCATCTGCTGTTCATATTTCTTCTGGAGTCTTTTTTCATCTTATCAGCGTTTTTATTTCCTTCAGTATTTTAAGGAAGTGTAACAAAAGATTGGAATTACTTTGGCTAATTGCAAAGATAAGTAAGTAAATTATTTTAGGAAGTGTTTTGTGTGTGTGTAAGTCAAATACGAAGATGTTATTTTTGACAGTCCAATAATGTAGAGTAGGACTCAGAATTAAGCTAATTTTCTTATGCAATATTCCTATGAGATATTGCTATTTAGTTCAGTGGAGCAGAATCAAGTTGTAAGTAAGCAACACTTAAAATAGTTAATTATTGCATTTTATTTTTATTATCAGGGTACAATACATATTGTGGCAGAAACAAAAATAATTGCACAGACAATGATTGTGTATAGGAGCAAGTAATGATAGTGGCTTTTCTTGGTTCATGGTATCTCTCTGTGTCTGTGTCTGTGTCTGTGTCTGTCTTTCTAAATTGCAAGGCCTTCATGGATAGGGGCTAAATGTTCCTGTAACTCGTGCCAATGCACGTTTGGCTTCCATTGTAATATTAATATTTAACGTTAGCTGACATTTTTCAAATTTTGATTTTTCATGGAAACTTTGTATTTAGACCAGAAATGCAAAAAAAATTGCTAAAGTTTCAAATCAATTGTTTTTGTTGATCAGATCTGATGCTGATGTGTCCACAAATGTGAGGAATTCCCAAGTTAAGACTTACGTTGTATTAACGTAATGTTTACAACAGCTTTTGAGATTCCTTGCTTTCCCATAGCTCTCTGTCCGACACTCTATCTTCAGACTGGAACTTTTGCTGGAATGTATATTACTACAATATCAGCTGCTACTGCGGTCTCTGCGAGCCCTATGATTCTATGAGTAATATGGTCATTGTAGGGCTAGCTGCATTTGGAAAGCTGCATAAGAAGCATGCATTGCACATCCTCACCTGATAAGCCATCCCATTTCTTAACCCTTAGTAAGAATGGGTTTCAAATTTAGAAATGTGGAGAAAGAAAACAAATTGCAGAACAGATGAGCATCTGTTGTCTCTTTATATGAACCACTTACCACTGTTTTGTTTCTGTTTCTAGTTATAAGAAAACACATGAAACTCTGAGCCATGCAGGACAGAAGGCAACAGCAGCTATCAGCAATGTAGGAACAGCCATCAGCAAGAGATTTGGAGATATGAGGTGCAGCAATTCACTTCTGATTTTGTTTTGGGGGAAGGGGGAGAACTTGCCATGTGTTCTTCTCTTTCCTTTCTTTCTAAATTAAGGTTTAAAGAATTATTGCTGACACTGCTGGTTGTGGTGATTTTATATCCTAGCTTTTTGTGTGTTGTTTTGTATTTCTGTTATGAGTCCTGAAGATACCAGTTGCCTTTTTGTCAACCTGGACCCCACTTTAACCCTGCCTTGCTGAGCCAGTTACTAAAGCCTCCTCCAGCATGCACATAGGCAGGGCCATATTCAGCTGCAGAACAATACAGAAACTGAGATCAGCTCTGGAAAGATTCAGCTTAAGGGACTTGCCCAGCACCCAGGTGTACACCCCCACTTTTAGGGTACAAACCTGAAGTTTTATATGAAATTCAACTTCTCCCTTAGTGTGGAGGAAGGGATTCACAGCCCAGTTCGAAATTACAAAAACTGGGTTATTTTATAAACCAGAAATAAGTTTATTAACTATAAAAAGTATTTTATGTGGTGAAAGAGGTAGCAAACAGAACAAAGCAGATGACCAAGAAAATAATATAAAGCATACAGACTAAGCTAGACTGACTGAAGAAACTGGCTAAAAATAAGAATTCGTCACCCTAGGTATTGTGGAGTCCTCCACAAGTCAGAGATGTCTTTTCTAGCCTGGGTACATCAATCCACATCTCTGCCCCCTCCCCCCCCCCCCCATTTTATTTCTTTTCATTTCCAGGTGTTTTCCCGTAACTCTTTGGGGTGGAGAGGCAGAGGTGATGAAAGCTGAAGACCATCACTGTTTTCTTCCCCCAAATTTATATACATTTCAATAAGGTGGGAATCCTTTGTTTGATTCCTTCATCCCTCTATGGAAAAGTACATCAGACCAAAGAGTCGGTTAGTAATGCAAACAATGAATATGCAGATAAAAGGTTACCAGACTGCCAAAAACCCTGGCCCCCAGAGTTGCCGTGAACAGATGGCTACAGCTCCGCCAGCCCTCCGCACCTTAGGCTATGTCTAGACTACATTCCTCTTTCGAAAGAGGAATGTAAATGAGGCAAATCAGAAGTGCAGATTTAAATATCCTGTGCTTCATTTGCATATTTGCATCCGATCCTGTTTCGAAAAAGGGTATTTTAAAAGTGAAACTGCCGTCTAGACATGGTTCTTTTGGTGGGGGGGGGGGAAACCCTTTTTCGAAAGAACTTGTACTCCTCGGAGTAAAGTCTAGATGTCAGTTTCACTTTCAAAATACTGTAAAGAGATGAAAGATGATGTGTATATTACCTTACATTTAGATGTATGAACTGTATATGCTAAAAGCTACAAGTACAGCAGATCAAATCATTTATGTTTAATAGGATTTTTGTACAAAAATAGGATGTCATTGAAAATAAAAGATTTTGGAAAATTAAAAATTTCACAAATGAAATGCATTGGGGGGAAAATTTTTTTTTTTCTGGGAAAACCCTGTTATTTTGAAACAATCTTATTCCTGTTTTCCAACTTGTGCCAGTAAGAAACGAGTCAGAAACTGGCGGAAATTCACCGTTTTGTTAGTAAGAACATAAGTACATAAGAATGGCCATATTGGGTCAAACCAAAGGTTTGGTACTAGTCCAATATCCTGTCTTCTGACTGTGGTCAGTGCCAGGTGGCCCAGAGGAAATGAACAGACAGGTAGCTATCAAAAGATCCCTCCTGTGTCACCCATTCCCAGACTCTTACGAGCAGAGGGTAGGGACACCATTCCTACCTATCCAGGCTAATAAGCATTCATGGACCTGTCCTCCATGAATTTATATAGTTCTTTTTTGAACCCTGAAAATCCTGGTCTTCACAACATCCTCTGGCAAGGAGTTCCGCAGGGTGATTGTGTGTTGCATGAAATACTTCATTTTGTTTGTTTAAAAATAGGTTTAAAACATTTCTCCTAAGTTTTGCCAGTTGGAAAGGAGTAACGAAGTGCTGACAATGCTACTTTAGAAAGTTTTTTTCTTTTAAAAGCAAAACCTGTTATTCCCCCTAATTTCCCTATTGTTTTACTGCTTCTGAGTTATTTCCAGTTGATAAACTGTAACAAAATACAACATGTATAATGGTTATTTTCCCCATGTTCTCATGTTTTCTTACTGTTTCCCAAATGAAAAACATTGGGAAATAATAAGGAAGTCCCAGGAAAGTGGGAACTAAAACAGTTTTCCATATTTTTCAAAATTTCCTATAGGGAAACTTTTGTAAGGGAGGTGTGTTTCATCATTTTTTTTTTTTTTAAGAAGAAGCTGCTCTTTTCATCAGCTCTTGCTACAATTGAAACCTTCAGACATGGATCCTCAAAGTGAGGCACCTACGTCCATATTTAGGCTCTTAAATTAGGGTCCTGATTTTTTTTTTTTCAGAAGTACTGGTCAGCTGACTTCTGTGGGAACAGTGTGCTCAGCCTATCATCTGACAATAATCTGCAATGAATACAGATGAGCAATGTATTCATACCCACCCCCCTCCAAAGTAAGTGTAAAGTCTGGAGAAGGGTGTCTCGGAGGCATAATGGCTCTTAGACTGTACCCAGACGTGTACTCAGAACTGTTGTGGCTGGCAGTTCTGAAAGTTGAAGCGTGTTAAAATTAACACTCATCATTATAATTACTTTAGCATTATTTTCCAATTGCCCAGTCTTGTTGACTGTAAGTGTGAGATACTGTGCTGTCTCACTGAACCCAAGAATGTCTGTTTGAACTGGGACTTAATGAAGCTGAACCAATGTGAGCCAGCACATGGTTAAGTGGACTAATACTCAAGTCACTGGTGTGTGCCAAGTGTGTGTTGATTATGTAACACAGCAGTAGGTGATGTTTGTTTTAAAGAAGGTATATTTGAAGGAGTCTCAACTGATCCATATTCTCCTGGTATCAAGATTTTGATGTATCGAATTCTTTCTATTTCTCCCAAGGGCCGTTTGACATTTTAATGGGAGATTGTTTGGATTTAATTTTTTTTAATCCATGTTTTGCATCATAAAATGCCAACTGTTAACTTTTGCTGTTCTTTCCTTATGCTGCCCTCCCAGATCACATTCGATTGGGTAAGCTGCATATTACGCTTCATAAATATTGCCATTGTCCTTGGTGTATTTTATTTATGGAATAGAGCACAATGCCTTCTTCATGTTCAACATTATTATCCCAAATAAAAAACACATTCCAGATCAGCCACAATATCTTGTGTTTTACAGTGTGATGTATCTAGCACGGTTATGGCTTGGATATGTGGAAAGACCCTGAGATTGGATTCAGAATATTGTTTACCACATTCTTGACCAGGTTAACTTTAGCCTACGTGTGGGCAAATTTTGGCCCGCAGGTTAGATCCGGTCCACGGGGTTAGTCCTTGTCAGACCTTCACCTCTCTTTACCTGCGCCTCTGCAGGTATCTAGCGAACACCGCTCTCATTGGCCTCGGATCGCTATTCGCAGCCAACGGGAGCAGCGGGAAGCAGTGTCCTGGTCCGCACCGCTTCCTGCCTAACACCTGCAGAGTGGCAGGTAAATATAGCGGCAATGGCCCACCAGGGATTAATCCTGTGGGTCACTTTTTATATTATTATTATTATTATTATTATTATTTCCCATCCCTGGGTTGGCTTCAAATTCACATAATACAGCGATGAGCAACCAAGACTAGTTGGCAGATTACATGAGTGACCCGCTTCGTCTCAGTGGGCTGCAAGACTGAAAGTGGTGGGCAACCTGAAGCCAATTGGGCTTCCCCCTGCAGCCCATCCACTCCCCACCTTCCCTTTTTCTCAAGCTTCTCACACACTGGGGTATTGGAGCCCTCACTTACTTCTCCTACTTTTCCCTCCCAGCCATTTCGGAGTGCCACAAATCAGCTGATTTGTGCTCATTCCCCTCCCGCCCAGGGCTTGAATGCTGTGAATCAGCCAATTCATGGCACTCCGAAAGGGCTAGGTAGGAGGGAGTAGGTAAGTGAGGGGCTCCAGTGTGCAAGGCATGTGGCGGAAGGGGCAAAAGGGGGTGCGCAGGCCACAGGTGGAACCCCAACGGGCTGCATGTCGCTCACCACTGACATAATGAATGTGTTGAATAGATGCGTGTCTTGGCCAAATCCACTTACTTACTGCCCCTGGTGATTTTTTGAGTTGGAGTATAAATGTCAAAAGCGCAGTACGAAGTATGGTTGGACAGCAGTTTTGTAACTTCACATCACTGATTAACTACCACCTTTTAAATAAAGCAAGAATGCCCAAGCCCTGCCCTGAAGTATACTGAGCAACTTTGCCTTCAGCAGACACAACCCAGGTTATAGAGTGGCCCTAACTAATAAAGCAGCCAGGTGCTGAGCCTGCAAAGCACATAAAATTGTTTTTAAGTTCAGAATGTTCAAAGGGTTCCCAATAAAGTCAGGTTCCCTTTCAGAGCAAATAGAGAGGGTGGGGTGGTTTCTGAATCAGACTGGAACCAAATACTGAAATTCTCCATGAGACAGAATTACTGTTCTCTACCGATCTCTGCTCAGCACCCAACCGGGCTGAAGCTCCCACAGCCTTGCAGGCCTCTTCTTCATAAACTTCCTAGAGTTTTAGGTGTTTAATATTTATAGACACCCCCAGTTGTCTGTCTTCTAGGCCAGAATGTCTGTCTATAATTTTAATAATTATGAGTGGCAAGAATACTCTTATTTCTTTTAAAGAAAATAACATTTCAGGGGTATGAGGAACTCAGCAAACTTTCTCTCTACTCATTGTATCCATCATATCGCCCCTCCTACTGAATCCTGTTTTATTGCGATTTTGGACTAAATCATCTTTTTGCTTGAGCTTATATTTTGGCATGTGTCTGTGACAGTAGATGAGCAGCCTGCTCTGAATTATTCAAATAGCTCCAGTTTTCTGCTTCTTTCCTATGCAGCTCAAGAACAAAGTGGAACATACATTTGTTTCATTTAATGTGGCTCATCAACTATTGCAAGTATTAGTAGGGAGCTGAGAGAGAGCATGTGATCCACTGCATTTGTGGAATGCTTGGGCTGTAGGATTTAACAGCAGTGTGAAATAGTTGAACTATAAAAACCTTGTTTTGCATTCATAACTGAATGATTATGGGTGTACAGCAGTATATTGGGGTTTTTTAATTATTTTGTCTTAGCTGATTACTAAAAAATATACAGTAGAGAATATAGCTGCCTTGGCAGGAAGATGAAGTGTTATGACCAAATAGATGTTTCAATGTGTATTTTTGTTTTATGTCCATGTGTGAGAATGATTTTTCGTTCTATTAACAGCAGTTTCAAAGACTGTTTTATGTCCATGTGTGAGAATGATTTTTTCCTTCTGTTAACAGCAGTTTCAAAGACGATGTTGAGTGCATGTCCAGTATATGAGAGACATTGTAATGTATGATTTATGTGAATGATGACATTGTTATAATCAGTTTGATAGGAATTAAATCCTGGTGGCACTTAATGCAAAGTACCTATTGTCTTCAGTAAGACCAGAATCTGTCAGTCAATAATTAAATAGCAGTGAATGGATTTTTGGCACTCCAGTATAGGAAATACTCCTAGCCTGCATACTGAAAGGTAGTTGAGAGAGATTCTTAAATTCCAAAGAAAGCAAAGCTTTATGTTCATATGAAACCCTAGAATTTCATTTATTCACCTACTACAGAGCTCTTTACAGGGTTTACCCTTCTCTGAGGGAATACAAAGGCACTTCCAAACCCCTCTGCATGATATTAGCATGCGCATGCCATGCTTTTTTGGTCTGAAAATATTTGATTCCATTATTGTAGTCTTAGCAGGAGATATTTTGTACAGTTCTTCAGAGCCCTATTCAGCCTCTTAATCAGCTGCAGAGTGGCAGTACACAGATGTTCTGTGATCAAAGTGAAGAGGAGAGTCCTTTGCAATAAGAATAGAAGTATCAGTGCTTCTGTGTTCTGTGATCAAAGTGAAGAGGAGAGTCCTTTGCAGTAAGAACAGAAGTGTCAGTGCTTCTCAATCAAAAATAAATAAATTGCTATGTAGACATGTTGCAAACTATTGCTTATAGTGCTTTTTTTTCTTTCCTTCCTTCTTGCTTTCACATGGCAGTTACTCTATTCGCCATTCCATAAGTATGCCTGCTATGAGGTAACGTGCCAACACCTGTTTGTATACTCTATGCTGAAGTCAAACCACTCATTCTTTATTTGGGGATTTGCTTTTCTTGGTCCTCACCTTTCAGCTTTTACTTGCTTTAAGTAGGTTGGTTTAAAATCAATGTGTTTAGTTATCTGAGTAAGAGTTGCAAGACTGAGCCATGTGTTTGGCTTATTTATTCACTGTTAAAATACTATACATGCCATTACACGAGAGGGAGCTGAGAAGAATTGGAGGGAGTGGATGTTTATAGTTCCATATTATCAAATGTGAAATTTAAATATTTTCACTGCATCTCAGAACTGTGCTACCATGTCAGTGGGAGCAGTGTCTGGCTCTTTGATTTCTAAGTATCTTTTAGACAAACTTCAATAAACGGAAATTGGGGGGGAAACAACTTAAGAAGTAAAGATTGCATATCTGCTTCAATATTATTTGGACTTACAGGGATCAGTAGACCACGTCTCTTCTTCACCTGTTACAGTAAATGAAGAAGGACAATATGTACCCAGAGGAAAGTAGTGATGCCAGAGGAGTCTGTTAGACAGTGGGTTACGACAAGTAAATTGGAACACTGTAAATTGATGGGCAAGTTGTGGAGTTAGAAACTGACAATGAGGGCACTAGACTGTTCCACCCTATTACTTTGGCTTGTCCTGAATCAGATGTGCTGACCAATGTGTGTTTCCGCTCCCCCTCCTCCCTAGTCATGCTTGCCTAATCCTCACCTATCTGCATGGGATTGGGTAATAGCTCCAGGGATGTTGCTGTAGCCACATTGGGAGTAGCCAAATTACAAGTTCAAGGAAGCTCCTTAATTCCCCTACCAGGGAGGAGGAGGAGAGAATGCGATTCATGATCTCACCTTAACACAGAGCATGTGCATATCACATCTTTTACACTCCCAACATCAGTGTGATCAATGTGTGATTGCTTGTCAGCTGGCAATATTAAAAATCAAAAGTATTTAAAATGATAAAAAGAAGCTGTATATATATTTTTGAATAAAATAGATTGCAGCTGGCAAGATGATTGTCACTTGCGCGGAAGAAAAAATCAAGCCCGATACACATTTTATTTTTTCTGAGGTATTTTCACACCCATGACATTGACACAAATGAAGGGCTCATTTCTACTCTTTTTGGAGTCTGAGGCAGAATGTCAGTTGTGAGCTGAATGGGGTGCAGATAGCTGCATAAAAAGGGTTTACTGACGCTTTAGGTGCTTCAGTCCCAGAATCGGGCCCCAGAATCTCCCTAATCAGTTCCCTTCAAACCCATCATGCTGTCAGCTCCTACCTGTTTGTTAAAGATCCATGCATACCTATGTCTGTCTGAGCACATGTGTGCTGCAGCTCTACACCAGGTGTCTGGACACTCTAGCTAGAGTAGGCACTGGGAGAAAGAGGCATTCCTCTGCTATCGTGCCTGTGGGGCCTGATCTGGTGAGGGGGCTCCATGCTCATCTACTGGATCAGGCCCCCCTGAATGAATTTACACATATTTTGAAGGAGGCTCTCCTCTTTTCCATCCAGCTTCTTACCAACAGGTGGTTACTGCTGCAAATCACAAGCAGAAGGAGGCCTGTTTCTTCAGTGGCAACTTAGATGCCTCTTTCCTAGTGGGGTGGGGATTGCTACACACCTCAGTTTGGCATCTCTCACTTGTTAGCTTTGGCAAGGAACTGCCTAGCATGCTGGCTTTTGTGAACCCCATTCCGAGGTAGGGATGTTAAATTGTGTTTACTGACTAATTATGTCGTCAATACAAGTTGTATTGACAACATGATTAGTCCATAAGGACTGCTTGGCAGAGCTGCAGCAGGGGCTCCACCAGGCTCTTACTACATTTAAAATGCAGAGGCGCAGCATCCCAGACCAGCTCAGTCCTGGCTGCCGGAGCAGCCCGTGCATGCAGCCAGCCCAGGCCACTGCAAACGGGCTGCTTGGCAGCAGCAGCCTGTCTGTGGGGGAGTCCAGCTCCTCCCTGGGACCCCCGCAGATGGGCTGCTGCAGAAGCAGCCTCCCCTGTCCCTCCACCCCCTGACTCTGATAGGCAGGGGGCAGGTGGCACTGCAGAGATGGCCACTGGAGGGCAGGGGGGAGCGAGTAGTCTGTACTCCAGTCAACCACTTGCTAAGATCTGTATTCTGAGGTGCCTGTTTGTCCCCTTTCTTTGTATAGGAAGCCAAGGAGACTAACCCAGGCCACGTGAATCCCAATGATTTTCTAGATGGCTAAAAGTTAGGTGTGGCAATGCTCTGTGCTTCCAGGCCTCAGCTTATTTGTGTCGCTAGCCCTGATCCTGGTAAAGGCTGAGCATCTCGTTTCCATCTGAAAGCAATGGGAATTGATGGCACTACATTTCCATGATTTAAAAAAATTTACTATTATTCATGGATACAAAGTGTTAATTTGAGTGAGGGGCTAAAATTAAGAAAATGCAGAATTAAGGCTAGCAGTCACTTAACTCTTACATGGATACTATAAATGCATCCCAGCATAGCGTAGCTGTCAAACAATAGTAAATATTTAGTTCAAATTATTAGATTCTGCTCTTGCCTGTTTGTAACTATAAAAACCCTAATCAGAGTGGTGTAATTGGATTTGAATGAGAGCAGCACAAGGGTCTGCTGTTGTACACTACTGATATGTAGTTGCACGCTGACAACTACTCTTCATTTGTTAGAGATCATTGTCTAGCAGAAATCGGACAAATAAACCGTACTGTTACTCTACACAATTAAATGCAGAACTGATTCTCTCTCTTCTTGTGTGTGTGTTTTTCTGCCTAGGAATTCTCCAACTTTCAAATCATTTGAGGAGAAGGTTGAGACCACTGTCACAAGCCTGAAGGTAATGATTAGAAGCTGTGTTATATGGCTGTACTTGTTAAAATGTGACAGCTTAGACACCACTGTCATTTGTACCAAAGGCAGATTGGGTTTCATCCTTCCATGAAGGATTCCCGTAGTGCCATGAAAGAAAATGAAGACAATACGAAGAGAAATATTATTTCTCTGCTTCCTGAATGCCAAGTGGCAAACTGTTGTCTGACAGCTTAAAATAACCAATCTTAACCAATACTCCATTGAAGCATTACACGTCAGGTGCTTAGCTGATATGACCCAATGGCTGGATCTCTGACAGTTTACACCAGTGGAGGTGCTAGCCAAGAGTTTGGAATTGCTTAAAATGTCATGTGCTAAATTCCCAACTATGTCAATCTTTCCTCTGGATTGCCTCAAAACTGTGTAAAAGGATAGCTCAAGGTTAAGAGCTGATAGCAGACACAGAGCAGTTACAGGTCGAACCTCTTTAGTCTGGCACTCCCTGGTCTGGCAACATCCGTGGTCCAGCATGATTTTAGATGCTGGATGTCCACTTATCATAGGTGGTGTCAAGTTTCTCGTGGCCTGTACGGTTTGTTTACAGCCACCAATCCTGGCACTATGCTGTTATTTAGCTCTAATGTTTTCTAAGAGCCCAGTAAGTACTGTAGACTTCCGATAATCCGGCACCTTTGGGACCTAAATGCTGCTGGATTATTGGATATGCTGGAGTACCAGGAGGTACTATACGGGGGCATACGCCCAACCCAATCCCCCTCCATCCCACCTTATGCTTGGGTCCTGGAGCTGCTGGTACAGCCATGCGTCTCCCTCCAGGCCCTGGGGCACGTGCGCCGAGCAGCCGGCTTTTCAATGAGCTTGCCGGGATGCCGTGCACAACCCAATCCCCTTCCTCTCCCCTCCCTTTTCCTTCCCCAGAGCCAAACACCTCCCCTCCCTGCTGTCACCCAATCCCCCTTCTCCCCCAACCTTATGTCCAGGTCCCAAAGCAGCTGCCTGTGCTCAGTGGCCAGCTGCTAGCACGTGCAGGCTGGATGCTGTGTGAGCTGGGGACTGTGAGCAGAATGGCATGGGCCATGAGCATGCATGTGGCTCACAGCGGCCCGGCCGGGGGGGCAGCTGACCTGAGCGGCTTTGGGTTCCAGTTGATGCTGGGACGGCCCCAGCCACATGGCTGACCTGGCACAGGACTGATCAGCTGTTTGTCAGCTCAGCGCGGCAGCCATGTAAATGTAAGTGAAGCCGTGATCATTTAAATAGTGGCTTCATTTGCCTTTGCCAAAACAACAAATCTACATGGCTCCGTCGACGAAGCCATGTAGTTTAGACGTACCCTGTGTGCACTGGAGACTGTGAGCAGAGGGCCATGAGCACACGTGGCTCACAGTGGCCCGGCCGTGAGAACGGCTGACCTGAGCAGTTCTGGGTTCCAGTTGATGCCGGACTATCAGGAGTGCTGAACAACTGGATGCCGGATTATTGGAGTTTTACTGTAGTTGGTAATGCTGCTAGACAATATCGACCTCCCGTGGTCCAGCAAATTTTCTGGTTCAGTGCCAGGCTAGAGTGGTGCACCTTTTGGTGCTACTGTATTAACAAAGCAGAGCATGCATGACACATTTTGAAAGGAGCTAGCCTTTGCACCACATGGAGGGGGAGTTGAGAGGTCATCTTCCAAGCCATCTTGTTCTCCTCAGGTTGGTAGAAGTATACAGACACCACCATAAAGGCATCACCACAGGGGGCACCAGTACTGACCCAATTGTTACCACTAGGGAAAATCTTCCAATAATAGTGCATGCAGTGTGTGTACACATGTCTTGGAATGCATGTGAGCAATCATTTGAATATGTATTGCCATTTGCAAATATCAATAAAGAGGGAATATTCTGTAAACATCAGTAAACTGTCCTATTCCTAAATTCATACAGATTTTCCATCAGTGGCCTGCGTTCAGGGCAAGGTATTTACGATCCTATTACGTGCAAGCTGCTCCTGCTCTCCATTATATACTAGCAAATGAAACCAAGGATTAGTGGGATTAACCCTTTGGAGGCAAAGGACACAGAGTACATTCAATTATAATAATTTTCCTAAGCATTCACTCAGCTGAGAGTCTAGAAAAGACCTGCATTTTGGAAGTGCTGTTTCAGCTGCAGGATGAGGTAAAAAAATCCTTTTCTATCCATAGACATGAATCAACTTGCAGAAGTGATGCCCAGGCCTCATCAGAGAACTACGGGATACTCTCTTGTTAATTCAAAGCAGCTCTTATTAAAGCCCTTGTTTAATTAAGTGTAAATCTGCTGTTTGTCCCATGGAGGAGTGATTAAAAAGGCAAATGCTTGGGTGAGATGAAGGGACAAATGCGTTAACATTTGCCAAAGCTTTATTTACAAATTAAACATACTAGCCTTTGCTAAAATCTTGTCAGATAAAACTGCTTTGATGCAGTGTTTTACATATTTATTTTTAATTCCTCCAGCCTCTAGTTCTTCATAATCTATGTCTCCGGAAACTGGTTGATGCTGAACACTACTCTCAGGAGCCTCATGAATGGGATTTATGTTAGGTTTTTTTTAATCTGCTTTGTGTAAAATACTAACTCCTCCTTTATATTCTCCAGTTATCGTATTGATTCTGTTGACTTCAATGGGTAACATCATTTACTCACTGCTGCCCAGTTCTTCCACTGTTATCTACGTTGCATGGTACCTTATTCTGCAAACTGAGCCATTGCTATAAATATGTAGTGAGGTGCAATTCAATATACACAAGGGAGAATCTAGTACTATAGAGAAATACAATAATAAACACGCTCATTAAAACAACACATACTAAGGCTGCAGTTTTCAAAGCCACCTAAACGACTTGAATATTCAGTTCACATTTAATATATGGTTACTTAATTTCCAAATAGCCTACACTATTTTGACAATCTCAGCCTTGATATTAAAAATGTTGTGGGGTTTTTGTTTTTAGCTCAGAACAGAAGCCCTCTGTGTGCTTGGCATTGCTGCTTATTTCTCAGGGTACAAGCACATATTCTCTCTCTCTCTCTCTCTCCAATGAAAAGTCAATTTCTTTTTAAAACAAAACATTTGAGTATCTGGTGGAACAGGAATTAAGCAAATTGGAACCACTGCAAAATGTAATGAGAAACATCACTGTTTTCTTTACTTATTTGCCATTTCAGACAAAGGTTGGAGGGACAAACCACAGCGGAGGGAGTTTTGAAGATGTTCTTAGTTCTGCTGCCCATGCCAGTGCTCAGAGCTCTATCGCAAGCCCCCAACTTCCTGAGAACAAGGAGGAGCTTCAGTGTTAGACCGTGGCGCCTACTGGACATCTGTATCCTACCTGGTGAGACTTATCCCAGTCTTTTCTGTGCTTCCCTTCCACATCCCCAGTCTTTTCTATGCTTCCCTTCCACATCCAGCTTGACACACAAGTCTTTGTAACCTCTAGAAAATGGCCTCACGCATGTTATCTTATTCTTCCCAGTGTATTTGTATTTTTACTAGGCCACTTTACCAGTACACATTTTTGTACGCCATAGAAATTGCACATGCCTCATCATCAGTTCTTAATATTCCAATTTCTATAAATGTGAGTAACCAAAGAGTTCTTGCTTTATGGTATTTTCCGTCTCTCTCCTAAGCTCTGGTCCGGTTGTTAGTTCTTCATTTGTTGTTTATTTAAAGGACTGAACATGCATTTGTTTTTAGTATGCTTGTTTCTGTTGGTTATGTAACCCCTCTGAGTGCCACAGCAGACAGATGGGTCCAGGACTCTGCAAGGATTTCTGTTGCCAGCAATAGCCCATACACCAGCTGTCCAAGCAAATTATACTAGTGCCCTTTACTCAGAAGCATAGAGATGGTCTGAGCTGCTTAAGGAGTCAAACAGAATCATCTGTTACACTGAAGTTTCTATTCCTTTTTCACTTCCACAGTGTCTTTGAATTTCCTCTCCTAAAGAGGAACCCAATTATTCAGATGCATACTAAGTTGATCGGTTACTGTGCCACAGCAGGAAATACTACTGTGGAAAAATGTGTTGTTACTTGCTGTTTGATAAGACTTGATTCTGGGAACCAATTATAGTATTACAAATAAAAATTAACTGTTTGCCTCTATACCATCTGCTTAGACTGTAAGATAAATGCCTGAATAATGTGAGCCTCATCAAAGTTAGAGCCGTGAGAGAGGCTATGTACAACTTAATAAAGATGTGCCGTAGGCTAGAGAGCCCAGGCCTTTAATCTACACTCCAAAGCTGGTACTCAGTATAAACCTTACAGTTTATGGTACACTGGAAGAGTATGAGCTTCAGACTGGACCTAACTGTCCTGCTTTAGTGCACTTCAGGGCATGATTCAGTCAGTTGAATGTTTAACTGCTTTATCTCCAAGAGGACAGAATCATCTTTTGGCTTAGATACAGCATGATGGTTCCATTATTTTATATCATTTTTAAGGAAAAGGAATCCGTAACGTTTTTTATAGTAATGTTGGTCAGCTAGCGGTGGCAGCAAAAGAAAACGTGATCTAATCTGCAGCTGGGTTTCCCAGACTGAGATGAGCACAAACCTATCAAGTATGAACAAGAATGAGGGGTCGGGGTGAAACTTAGCCTGCTTTTACAATAGGCCTCTTTAATGTTATCCTATTGCAAAGTTACAAATCAACTTTAGCCATTCTGTATCATAGGCTTTGCTAAAAGCTTGTCAGGGAAATCCTGTGTCAAAGTGGTTTCGTAGGAGGGTTGGGCGAGGGCTGTTCTGTTTTTTGGGTGTGGTCTGTGTGGATGGGGTTTTTTTCCTTTAATTCTCCTGTGACTGGACACATCTAAAATGCCTCCTTAATGTGATTTTTTTTTTTTTAAATGTTACCAAGAAAGCAAATTAGTTTTTCAAATAGTTTTCTTGTGACAATTGGTAAGTTTCTCAGCACTGTTGTGCATAAACATTCATTTTATTTTTAAAACCGTGTATTCAAATGAAGTTAGTAAAATTCTTATTTAAAAGAGTTTTTAAAATGAGTATCTTTTTTTACTCTGCCTTGTGTTCTTAATTGCAAGGAGCCACTTGTAATTCAATCTTGTAAGATGTTACCATACCAAAGTTATATAGACTGATGGTTTGGGCCAGCATATACTTTTTCTTATCTTTCTGAACTTAGGTTTAGAAGTATCAATGATGGGA